AGGCACCTAAGTGCATTTTGACACAAATACAATTTTACTACAAGGCAGTTATTGTTCTCTCATTGACTCTACTTTTACTTACTGAGATGATGAATGCCCTTTGTTGAGTTTAAATCTGCCCTAGCCAGTTTGGCTCAGTGGGAAGAGCATCGACCTATGGACTGAAGGGTCCCGGGTTCGATTCCGGTCAAGGACCTTGGTTGCAGGCATGATCCCCAGCCCTGGTCAGGGTGCGCGCAGGAGGAAACCAATTCATGTGTCTCTTCTACTGATGTTTCCCTCTCTGTCTCTTCCCATTCCTCCCGCTCTCTAAAAATCAATTGAACAATACCCTTGAGGATTAGCAACAATAAATCTCCCCATTGTTCTAAGCTGTGTCAATGTTAGGGCTGTGCTAGGATTTGCTGTCCCTCTTGATTGGTGTTTTGGCTGTGTCTAAGTTTTCACTGTCACAAATGCCCTGGATGAGTGTGTGTGTGTGTGTGTGTGTGTGTGTGTGTGTGTGTGTAGGAGGGGTAGGGGGGATGGGGGGAGGGGCAGTGCTTGTCTTTCTAAGTGTCATGTCCTGAGGGGAGCTGGGACCTGGCCTGGCAAGGACCCTTTTCTCCTTGGAACAAATGGCTTCCTTTAAGGAAGGTGCTTTTCCAGAAACATGTTATTTCAGGGCCTCCCGACTCCAGAATGCCCCTTGTCCCAGAGAGACACGCCGCCTTCACCGAGGCCGGATGCGGACAAAGAGCAGGGGGGTGAGCTCCTCCGGACAGCTGGGCTTTGCAGGTCTCCCCCTCCCAGACATCCCCCTGACAAGGTGGGACAGGGAAACTGAGGCCCAGCAAGTTCGTGGGGGGGTGGGGCTAGGACAGGGCTGGGTAGAGCACAGCAGGGGTGTGGCTGGGAGGGGAGCCCAAGAGGTGAGGAGGGAGCTGGGAGGGAAGCCCAGGAGGTGAGGAGGGAGCTGGGAGGGGAGCCCAAGAGGTGAGGAGGGAGCTGGGAGGGAAGCCCAGGAGGTGAGGAGGGAGCTGGGAGGGGAGCCCAGGAGGTGAGGAGGGAGCTGGGAGGGGAGCCCAGGAGGTGAGGGAGAGCTGGGAGGGGAGCCCAGGAGGTGAGGAGGGAGCTGGGAGGGGAGCCCAGGAGGTGAGGAGGGAGCTGGGAGGGGAGCCCAGGAGGTGAGGAGGGAGCTGGGAGGGGAGCCCAGGAGGTGAGGTGTGTGGCTGGGAGGGAAGCCCAGGAGGTAAGGTGTGTGGCTGGGAGGGAAGCCCAGGAGGTGAGGGGAGAGCTGGGAGGGAAGCCCAGGAGGTGAGAGGTGATTTGGGAGGGAAGCCCAGGAGGTGAGGGGAGAGCTGGGAGGGAAGCCCAGGAGGTGAGAGAGAGCTGGGAAGGAAGCCCAGGAGGTGAGGGAGAGCTGGGAGGGGAGCCCAGGAGGTGAGGGAGAGCTGGGAGGGAAGCCCAGGAGGTGAGGAGGGAGCTGGGAGGGAAGCCCAGGAGGTGAGGAGGGAGCTGGGAGGGAAGCCCAGGAGGTGAGGGAGAGCTGGGAGGGGAGCCCAGGAGGTGAGGGAGAGCTGGAAGGGAAGCCCAGGAGGTGAAGGAGAGCTGGGAGGGAAGCCCAGGAGGTGAGGAGGGAGCTGGGAGGGAAGCCCAGGAGGTGAGGGGTGATTTGAGAGGGAAGTCCAGGAGGTGAGGGAGAGCTGGGAGGGGAGCCCAGGAGGTGAGGGAGTGCTGGGAGGGAAGCCCAGGAGGTGAGGGGTGATTTGAGAGGGAAGCCCAGGAGGTGAGGGAGAGCTGGGAGGGAAGCCCAGGAGGTGAGGGGTGTGGCTGGGAGGGAAGCCCAGGAGGTGAGGGGAAGCAGGCCTGTCATGGAGTGGGCAGTGGCGTCTGCGGAGAGAAGCCTTGGGACGCCAGCCTGCCAGCTCAGGGCTCCGGCCATCAGCGTGGAAGTCCCCCTCAGCAGGTGTTATCTGGGGTGAGGTTTGGGCTGCCCACTAGGTCTGTGTGTGACAGAGATCCCTCTCCTCCTCAAAGTCAGAGTTGGCAGTGGGGGCAGGTGTGAGCAGGGCTTCTGTCCAGGGAAACCCAGAGCAAACCAATCCCAGGGGCGCCGGCCGTTTGTCCTGAAGACATATAGCACTCACCTCCCAGCTTCCCTCCCAACAGCCCCTCCTCCAGAGCCGCCCTCACCCCCAGAGCCGCCCTCACCCCAGAGCCGCCCTCACCCCAGAGCCGCCCTCACCCCCAGAGCCGCCCTCACCCCAGAGCCGCCCTCACCCCAGAGCCGCCCTCTCCCTCAGAGCTGCCCTCACCCCAGAGCCGCCCTCTCTGAGGTGCTCTGGGCGGCTCTGGGGGTGAGGGCGGCTCTGGGGTGAGGGCGGCTCTGGGGGTGAGGGCGGCTCTGGGGTGAGGGTCCTGTGAGCACCTGGAGGGGAGACACAGAAAGCACAGCGCCTGCGCAGCAGGCGGCCGAGGAACAGGAACCAGTCACAGCAGAGGGAACAGAGGAGCCTGGGTTAGGACTGGGCAGCCTGGGCTCACGGTGGCTCTGCCCAGATTTCCAAGGTGACCTGGAGCGACCCCTTCCCTCACTGCCACCAGATAAGCACTCCGGGCTCTGCTAGGTTCCAGTGCCCACCCAAGTCCCTGTCCCTGCACTGGGCAGAGAGGGGCTTCTGGCTGGCCTGCCCCGGACTCAGGGGGCTGCATTTTGAATGGCAGGGGCATTTTGGCCAACACACATCACAGCATATACACACCACACAACACGCATGCTCACACACCAAGCACTCACACATGCGTACACACACACCATATACATCACACTCACATCACACACATACCCCACACTCACACCACATACCCCACACTCATCCTCACGCCCACACCCACCCACTCCACACACGTAACAGAAGCAGGATGTTGGAGCTGCTCACCCCTTCTCTGCTCATCCTCCCAGCCTCTCCTCGCCCCGCCCCTCCCATGCCCACCTCTGAGCAGGTGGAGAAAGCAGACCATCTGGCATGACACCTTCACCTCCCTCTCCCCCCATCCCCCCCACACGCTCACAAGCAGCCTTTGCCTGAACCCCAACACCCTTCCCGCAGCGTTCCCAACCCCATCCAGGCTGCCCCGTCCGCCTGCTCCCTCCTGTGTGTGGCTCCCAGGCCTCCCTCCCCAGGGGCCGCTTCCCAGGGTCTCTTCCTCATCCATCTCTCTCTGATCCTTCTCCTTTGGACCTCACAGGACTCGACCTCCCTCCCTTATTAAAATAATAATAATGAACTCTCCCTCAGTGCAGTGCCTCTCACCACACACATCACTCTCCTTCCTTTCAAATGGCCTCCGACCTCGACCTTTCCTCCCTCAGCTCCCACCGACCCCACTGCCCGCACACACACACACACACACACACACACACACACACGTGCACACGCCTATCCGAGCACACCACGGCAGGGCTGCTCCTTCCCTCACTGTTCTCACCAAGGTCACTGCCAACTGTCGTGTTGCAAAACCCAAGGTCTCTTCTCTGCGCTCGCCTTTGCTGATGCTTCCCTCCAGTTGCACACATACCCCCCCCCTCCCCCGCCCATCCCGCCCTGAGAACCACCCTCGCCTTTGCAGGGTTGCCGCGTAAAATATCGGCCCCAGTTACGTTAGAATCTCAGACAACAAATGTTTCATGTGAGTATGTCCCACATATTACAGGGGACATTATTTATACTGGAAATCGTTTGCTGCCTGGGATTAAAATGAGCTGGATGTCCTGTATTTTTATTCCCTAAATCGGGCAACCAGATTCCCTGCTTCTTTGCCCCCGCCCCCCGCCCAGCTCCCTACCTTCCTGCCTTCTCCAGCTGCTCCTCCTTTTGTCAGCTGCCCAGGTGCTGGCCCTCACTGCCCCTTCTCCAGCTGCCCGCTCTCCTGGGGCAGGGCTTGACAGACGGCCCATCACCCCTCCCATTGCTCTGCTTTCAGAGTGACAGGTGTGATTCCAGCCGACAGGCCCCGCCCTCCACTGACCAGGGCGGGTTGTGCGCACACAGTACAGGCACAGAGCCCTGGGTCCGGGGTCCTACTATTGGGTCCAGCTGAAGGACGCCTGGCCTGGAGCAGAGCCGGCTCTGCCTGAGCTCAGAGAGCACCGGAGGCCGACTCTTTTCATCCCTGGCAGATCTTGCACCACCGTCTCTGCCCACAGGGAGCTCTTGTTTCCAGGCATTTCTTTGTGCTGGACACGCTCACTCATCTCTGACTGATCTGGTGCCTCTGAGAACAGGCCCCTGCTGAGCTCCTGAGGAGATGCACCGACCATGGCCCCTTCAAGGAAGGAGAGGCGGTGGGGGCAGGTATGAGCCACAGAGTAAACCCCGGCCGGGAGGGGCAGCTCTCAGAGGAGGAGCAAAGGTGGGGAATATTAAGGGCCTACATCACAACTTGGCCCCTACCCAGTTTGCTCCCTCCTTCTTCCCCTCTCGGACGTTGGTTCCCTGTAACATCTTGCATCCCAAACTTCGTCTCGGTCCCGTTCAGAGAACACGACCTACAGCAGCTCCCTTCACTCAGCCCCCAGCTCCTCCCCGCAGCCAGCTCCCCTCCGCATGCATCTAGGAAGCCCTGCTCAGGAGCTGTAGGTCCAAAGTAACTGAGACACGGTCCCCAGGGGTTGTGCCCCTCGCCTCCCCTGCTCACCCACTCCATCCCTCTGCACCACCCTGTCTCCATCCCTGGCCCCACAGCCCCGGCCTCTCTCTCCAAGGCCTTCCTGTGCAGCCACATGGCCACGGTGGCCGGTCTGGGCACACGCAGAGGCCAGAGCCCGCTCAGGGCCAGTCCTGGATACAGCCGGCTAGCCAGGAGACTCAGAATTCTGTACCTTCCAAACTATACTCTACATATGGCACAGCTTTTATTTCGTGGGTACAGAGAAAACAGATTTTCCGCGAAAAAGATCTGAGCCGTTCTTTGTGATGGAACAAGAGCTCACTACACGCCCTCGATGTAACATTTTCACTTATCTGGCACTGGCCTTGTCTTTGAGTTCCTGATTCTCTGTCATTCCGGGCTCAAATCCCTCGCATTCTCTACGGATAGAAGGGACCCGTGAGAAAAGAGTAAGAAAGTCTGTTTTGAAGTCTTCTTTCTGGCTCTCCTGCTCGGAAACCTCTCACACTTTCTGTGACTCTGGTTTTCTCTTCTGCTTCCTTTGGTGGTTTTCCAGCCCCGACTCTTGGGAGACCCATAAAAGGATATACCTCCTCCATCATAAAACAGATCACTTGCTGCCCGCTGGTTTCAGCGCGTCAGGGCTGATTTCAGGCGACTGGCAGGGGCTGGCCTCGGGCTGGCGCTCTGTGAGGTCCGCACATGCAAGTGGCAAACGGCCCAGCGAGGGGAGCAGGCAAGACGTGTCTTGTAAAAAGCGTCCACTGGAGGGCGCAGCTTCCTCTGGTGGCAATAGAGCCGGCTTGTAGGCATCCTGGCACAAACCTGAGTGAACGGGGTCTGCTGCCGGTAAACTCCAGTTCCCCTGCGGATCAGAAGAGCTGGCCCCCGTGGGCGGAGTCCAGTGGAGCTCCTGGGGGTCAGGGCGGACGCCACCTGGTCCCATCAGGGTGGATCTCCGGGGCCGGAGGGCATAGCAGCCTGGGATGGGATGCACCAGGGAGACTGCTGGGCTCGGGCAGGGGAGGGCAGGAATGCCAGCCTTGGGGGAGTGGGACATCGGGAAGGCTGGCTGGGCGCTGAGTCTGACACAGCAGCTGGGCACATTCTGGGGGCTGCCGGGCCTCACATGAAGGTCCAGAAGTCCCGGGCGCCCGCCACTGCCTGGCCGTGGCGGCCCGGTCCCGTGAAGAGAGAATCCTCCTGGCGAAATGTGGCCACCGTGAAGCTGCGGCCGGGCCCAGCCTGGGGGTCCGGGGCCTTCGCGTCGCAGCTGAAGCAGCAGAGGATGCAGGTGATGGCCACGGTGACCACGAACAGCACGGCCACCATGCCGATCACCACCGTCTCCATGGCCCCACCTGGCAGCCGGCGCACCGAGCGAGCCTGGGTGCAGCCTGAAGCCTCAGCTCCCCACCCGAAGCGGGGCTCTGGGTGGCTCTTCCAGCGGGGTCCCTGCGGCCTTCTAAGAAGATACCGGGGCGGGGTCCTGGGTCGTGCCCCCTGGGGACCGTGGGGCGCTCTGCATGGCACTGCTCCGGCCTCGGTCACTGTTTCCTACATCTGGCCGGGCTTCTGGGAGCCGTGGTCAGCTCCGCCGGGCGTCTCTGGAAGGAATGGGGACCCGAGAGGTGTGCGCTCAGTCTCCCGAGCTCGGAGGAGCCGGGAGGAGGGGGCAGAAGGCTGCTCCCGGGGAGCCTTGCCAACCCGGGCCTCTGGCGACGCCTGCGGATTCGGGAGAGTCTGCGCTCAGACAAAAGACAGAAGACGCCCCGTGCGGTGGATCCGGGATGAGCCGGGCTCCTCCCCTGGAGGAGCCGTGGGCCGGTCCTTGAATCAGCCTATTCGCTGCCTCCCGAGCCCCAGGCCTGTGCTGGGGCAGGGACACAGGTGGACAGAAGACAATGCCAACCCTGGACACCGTGGGGCGTCTGTGAGTCCGTGGGGCCGGGGGCAGGGCTGTGGGGGAGGCCTGTTTCGTGTGGCCTCCATTTCTGCATTAGTTTGGAGAGTGTTTAGATAAGGCCGGACATGTGGCCTTTGTCCTACTGCTCCCCAGAGCTGTGCCGGCCCCAGCCCTCCAGCCGCCCGGTCGCCCGCTGCCGCCCTCAGAGGCTGTGAGCGCTTACCCTGGGCTCGTCTGGAACAACAGCTCTGACTGTGTGCGGCCCCATGGTCTCCGGACCCGGCGGCCACCCCAGGAGCCGGGTCACAGCACGCCCAACCCTGGTGCTGCCGCTCTGGTCCGGCGGAGACAAGGCTCCGAGATGTCTGAGTGGCTGAGAGCACTTCCCGAATGCCTTCCTGCCTGTGAGTGAGGGCCCAGGACTTCCTGCCTGCCTTCCCCCAGCGGGGAGTGGAGGCCCAGGGCCTGCACAGCTGCCTGTCGCCCTTGGTGACTGCACTCACCCCACCACCCAAGCACCCTCAGGCCATTGCAGTCCTGCCCCAGGTTCTCCACTTCACTGGGTGGGGGCGAGCCAGGCCAGGCCACTGAGGAGTTTGACAATCACTCCGTCACAGCCCAGCACCTCCTGAGGCCACCGCGTCTAAAAAGGAGACGGGGCTGAAACCGGTTTCGCTCAGTGAATAGAGCGTCAGCCTGAGGACTCAAGGGTCCCAGGTTCGATTCTGGTCAAGGGCATGTACCTTGGTTGCGGGCACATCTCCAGTGTGGGGTTTGCAAGAGGCAGCTGATCAATGTTTCTAACTCTCTACCCTCTCCTTTCCTCTCTGAAAAAAAATCAATACAATATATATTTTTTAATAAAAAATAAATAAAAAGGAGATAGGGTTATTGGCCCCACTTTACCCAAACTCTGAGCAGTAGAGTAGTGAGAAACAGTAATTCCAGGCAGAGGACACAGCCAGGCATTCGCTCACATAACTGGCCCAGCAGTTCTGTGAGGTGGTTTCCTCTCCCTTTTACAGAGTCAGATGCTGGTGATCGGAGGTTACAGCACACCTGTGGCCTGTTGCTAATTTGTAGTGATGACAAGAGCACCAAATGGCCGAAGAGGGGCTTCCTGGCCTTCCCTCCTAGTTCAATGCTCTTTCTGTTAGGGGCAGAAATAGAATAGTGGGGACTAGCTACAGTTATCCTATCTAATAAAGAGGGAACATGCTAATTGGCCATCATGCCCTCACAAAGATAGCGGTGCCCACAGCCAATACGAAAGGAATATGCTAATTGACTGTCACATCCTCAAAGATGGTGGCACCCACAACCACGAGATGGCGGTGCCCAGTCCCGTCAGCTCCGCTCCGGTGGCAGGTGTGCAGCACAGCGGGTCTTCCCCCAGGCGGGTCCGGCTGCTCCGAACACCTACCTGCAGAGTCCCCCAGTCCCTGCAGTCCCCCAGCCACCCAGGGCCAGTCCAAGGCACAGGCAAGCTTTGGATGGCAGCTGCCCAGACGCCCAGGGCTGCCCGAGGCTCAGGTAACCAGGGCTGCCCAAGGCTTGTGCTGCCGGCAGTGGCAGCAGCAGAGTTGTGATGGGGCATCACCTTCCCCTGATCACTGGGTGGCCTCCCGTCCCTGAGGGCTCCTGGATGGTGAGAGGGGGCAGGTTTGGCTGAGGGACACCCCCCTCCAGTGCATGAATTTCCATGCCCTGGGCCTCTTGTAAGAAATATGAATTATGCTCTGTTTACCATGATATTCTGTTCTGATTAGAGAAAGCACATTACAACCTGGCTGAGAGTTGTATGCCCTGGGACATGGGAGCTGACACAGAAATGCAGGCCATCCTCCTTTCCCGAGAACTGCCTGTCGCTATGGAGAGATTTACAGCCTCCTGGCTGAAACAATCTAGTCCTGGAGGCACCTGCCCTTTGCAACCCCCAGCCCTCTTGCCTGTAACCATTCTACCTTGCCTACTTTCCCGTGCCTGTAATTCTTACTTTCTCACGTAATCTTTGCCCTTCTACCCAATATAAGCAGCTGGTTTATAGTTAGAGGCAGAGCAAATTTTTGTGGATGACCTGCTGCTCTCCCATCCTGGAATAAACACAATATGATTCAACAGTGTCTCTGCTTAATTGGTTCAAGTAGTGATGGGCAGCCCAGACCCACTGATTGTCCGGTTACATTTCCTCAGAGCAGTCCCCTCATTCTCCAGTTTTACTGATCAGAGTACAGAGGCTCAGAGAGGGCTGAGGGCTAGCCCAAGGTCACACAGCCCAGGTCCTTTTCCATTTCTCCAAGGCCCCAGTAAGCTTTCTTTAGTAGCAGCTAAAGTACTGCCTACACATAGAATGGGAGAGTGACTGCTGGGAGTACAATGCCCTGTCAAATTCTCACTCTTCTTTGCCGAAACCAGTTTGGCTCAATGGATAGAGCATTGGCCTGCGGACTGAAAGGTCCCAGGTTCAATTCCGGTCAAGGGCATGTACCTTGGTTACTGGCACATCCCCAGTAGGGGGTGTGCAAGAGGCAGCTGATTGATTATTCTCTCTCATCGATGTTTCTAACTCTCTATCCCTCTCTCTTCCTCTCTGTAAAAAATCAATAATATATATATATATATATATATATATATATATATATATATATATTTTTTTTTTTTTTAATTCTCACTCTTCCCTTTTCTAAGATGATTGAACAAACCTGGGTGTGAGGCTGCTCCTCCGAGAGGGCAGAGGAGGAGCATGGAGCAAGCCGGGGCCGTGCCTGGAAGCTGGACACCTGGAATGGCTTGCGTTAACTGGGACAACCAGAGAGAAGGAAATGTGAGGAGCCAATCTGGTGCCGGTGGCTTCAGATTGAATAACCAAGATCAACTAGTCAGTTCAGGAGATAGAGGGTACCAGGCAGATCTGGTTTCAAGCTGGGTTACTTGTTCCTTTGACTTCTCCTTTGCCTGTTCTTTGTGGGTGAATGGAGCTGGAGACCACCAGCTCTGGTAGGTGTGCATTGTTCAGCATTTTAAAAACTAGCCCGCTCACCAAAACCTGTTTGGCTCAGTGGATAGAGTGTCGGCCTGCGGACTAAAAGGTCCCAGGTTCGATTCCAGTCAAGGGTATGTACCTTGGTTGCGGGCACATCCCCAGTGAGGGGTATGCAAGAGGCAGCTGATCGATGATTCTCTCTTGTCTATGTTTCTAACTCTCTGTCCCTCTCTCGTCCTCTCTGTAAAAAATCAATAAAATATATTAAAAAAAAAAACTAAAAAAAAAACTAGCCCTGCTGACATGTCTCAGTGATTCAGAGTCAACATAGGAACCAGAAGGTCATGGTTCAATTCCCGTTCAGGGCATATGCCTGGTTGCAGGCTTGATCCCCGGTAGGGGGCATGCAGGAGGCAGCTGATCAATGATTCTCTCTTATCATTGATGTTTCTATCTCTCTCCCCTTCCCTCCCTTCCTCTCTGAAATCAATAAAAATTAAACTAAAGTCGAATAAAGCACAAGGGTTCAGGCCTCTTACCTTCTGCCTTGTATCGATTTCCTTTTCTGTTTCTGAGGTTTGGGGACCCTCCTTGGATTCACCTGTAAAACAGGCCGTCTGGTCCATCCTCGTAACAGGCAATCAGTAATTGTGGCATAATGAGAGGGACCGCAGTTATACCGTGAGGACAGCACAGTCTGCTTTGAAGGCTCTTAGCAGTCTTCATGGACCTCACACTGGCAATCTGCAACACGGAATGACCAATGTGGCATCTCAAGCACAAGGCAAACACACACACACACACACACACACACACACACACACACAGAAATACAACAACAAAAACCATGGATAAAGATGGACCAAGTTCAGCACCTCCTGCAGGAGTGGGGTTGCTGGAGGTCCCAGAGCTTATCTGCCCTCGAGATGGGCTGCAAGGAGGTGGCACCCAGGAGGCCAGCCAGGGCAGCCTCAGCCTCCTCCCAGCTCAGTACCCTCTCCCCCAACCATCCTCAACAGTCTCTTCCCGATTATCAGCATTATCAGGAGAGCTGAGGAGAGCAAGGCAGCATCAACCTTTGCCCACAATTCAGAGATGTTTGTCCTAAGGGTATTTTCCACCCCATTTCTTAGAGTCCTGTCTTTCGTAGCCCTGGGCTGCAGATGCCAAAAGATGTCTATCACTTATAGACACGAATGTGTCCTCCAGCATCCTCTTCATCAAGTGACCAGAAAGAGACCACTTTCCATACCTCCCACTTATGTTTATGAGGGAAAAGGTGACGTAGGCGCCCTGCCATAAAGAACTAGAACTGGCGTGGACTCTGCAGAGAGGAGGGGAGGCGGCCAGAGGGCTACAGCCTCCACCTGTTAAACGTTTCCTGCCTTTCAGACCCCACCCCCACCCCCAAACCTAGGGAGGTGGAGCAGGAGCCTCCTGGGAGGCCCCAGGAGCCCGGAGACCTAACCCCGCAGGGCCCTGTGCTCTCCTTGGTGTCCCTCGGGCCCCACCCGCACTCATATTTACTTTCCCAGAGTCTCCAGAGAATCCTTCCTGAGGATCTGCTGTGTGGGCCAGTTCTGTGCTGGGGACAGGGAGCCCTAAAGGCTTAGAGAGTTCTCAGCTCTATGAGGGCAGAGGGCCCTTGAATCCTGCCATAAATCTCTGGGAAGAGGGATAAAGTGTGGTCAGTGCTCCGAAATAAATACAACAACAACAATAATAATAATAATAATAATAATAATAATAAATAGTAATAAAGTTGGGAACCCCTGGGAGGGCTTCTTCTTGGACAAAGACACAGAGAGGGTAAAGTTCAGGGTGTTTTGGGGGGTTGAGACTGGAGCAGTGTGAATGGAACAAAAGAGCAAGGGGGTAGGCGAACCAGACCAGGGGCCTTGAATGGCCAACCAAGAGGCAGAGACTTCATCCCAAGGGCAATGAGGAGTTTCAGCCATTCCCTCAGGCTGCCTCATGGAGATGCTTCAGAAAGTGGCAGGGCTGGACCCAGGCTGGGCAGGGGGATGAGCCAGGGTGGGCCCTGGGGTGGGGGAGGGGAGGCAGACTGGAAGGACACTGCACAGATAAAACCAACAACACATGGAAACACAGGGCCCACTTTCCCATCCCAGAAACCCAGTGTGACTGTCCGTGTGAATCTGCCTCCCTCGCCCCCACACCCCCGACCCAAGCACTCACAGAGAATCCACAGGGAAACAGAAATGAAACTGGACGTTCTGTTCAGTTCTGTCCCCGTGAGTCAGCAGGCCCCTGGCTTACTGGCCCGCTCTCAGGCCCCACCCCACGCCCCCAGGCCTCTCCCCCTTCACTTCCCACCCGGCCCACAGGCCCAGGCTGCAGCCGGGAACAGGATTTCCTCCGCCTGGTGGAACTCCGCCAGCTGCTCCCGGGATGTTGGGGACTCGCCTCCCAGCCGGCCTTCCCTCCGGCTCTGCTGTCCGTCCCACTTCAGGGAGGAGGAAACTGAGACCCCAGCAGGCACGCACTCCCCAAGGCCACCCAGCACCACAGCCCAGGTTAAAGAAGTTCCTCCCCACCCCCAGCCCCATGGCCACACACCAGGCCCCAGGAGGGCAGGCTAGCTGGCTGGAGACCCAAGGCCTGGATAAGAAACCCTGACCCAGTTACCAAGGAAACACTGAATTCAATACAGACCGTGGGAGGGCTCTGCGGGCCCAGAGCTCAGTCTGCCCTGGAAATGGGCTGGAAAGAGCCTGTAGGTAACCCTGGCCCAGCCTGGTGGCTCGGCCCTCCTCTTCCTGAGGCCCCGGACTCTCCCACAGAGCCCCCTGGCACACAGACAGCCCCCTCTGTGTTGTGTGTGTGTGTGTGTGTGTGTGTGTGTGTGTGGTTTCTTGGGGGTTTTTTTGGGGGGGAGGGTCTCGTAAATCCTCACCTGAGGCTATTTTTCCTTGATTTTTAGAGAAAGTGGGAGGGATGGGAGAGACAGAGAGAGAGAGAAACATTGATGTGAGAGAAATATCGATGGGTTGCCTCCTGCACACGCCCTGACCAACACCAGGGATCGAGCTTGCAGCTGAGGTACGTGCCCTCCACCGGAATCAAACCTCACCCTTCCGTACGCAGTCCGAAGCTCTACCCACTGAGCAAACCGGCAAGGGTAAAAGCCCGCTCTGGACAGGGCTGCACCCAGGCCTTAATCCTCCTCGGAACTCGGGCCCCATGCCTTTCTCACCTACTGTCCACCAGGCACTACAACGCCCACCCAGTTGCCCCACTCACAGCCAGCCCTCAGACCCCAGCCAGCGGCCACCCCCCCAGACTCTCACTTCCCGTCAGAGGGAAGTCCCAGGGCAACGCAGACTCAGGCCCCTCCCTCCCGCTTGAGCTGTAATCAAGAGCCTCTTCACAAAGCTTCTTTGTGGTTTTCGTTTTTATTTTTGTATTAAGTCTCCCGTGAATTAACTGTGCAGCCTCATTACTGCCTTGTCCAAATGAAAGGGCATTGCCCGGGCCCCTCCCGGCTAACCCCATCCCCCAAACCAGAGGGGCGGATGTCAGAGGGGAGCACTTCAGAGGGAGCACGGCACATCTTCCAGGCATCCGCGTGCCCCGGTGCGCTGCAGGTGCCCGCTGGCAGTTACAGTCGCAAGGTGGCGTCCATCCCCCAAAGGTCACCCCTGCTCTCACCCTCCTCGCCCTGCAGCGTGAGCAGGGCCGCCCCGGGTGCTCCTCCGTCCTGTCCTCCGCTCCACGGCTCCCTGGGGCGCCGGATGCAAACGAAGCCCACGCAGGACCGTGCCCTTCTGCACCGGAACATGGGGTCCACTCCTCCTGGCGACGGGAGGACAGGCAGGGGCCGCCCTCCACGGGCGTCAGCGGCGGCCTCGGTGGGTGTGGAGGTAGGTCTGGTGGGGGCGGTGGTGGTGCAGATGCTGGTGGTGCAGCCCCGCGTGGTGCATGTGAGGCGCGTGGCCGGGGTAGTGGGGGTGGTGGGGGTGGGGGTGGAAGTGTCCCAGGCGGCCCCGGGCCGGGAAGAACCACGGCCGGGCCTGCCGCACGCGGTTTCTCCGGACGGCCGGACGGTTCATCTCCACGTCGTGGTCCTGCTGTCCGCCGTGCAGGCAGGCGGCCACCACCAGCACCAGCAGCAGCAGGGCCAGGGCAGCGCCTGCGATCACGCCCGCGAGAGCCGTGCTCCCCAGGAGCCCGAGCATCTGGGAGCTGGAGAGTCCCCTCTGCCCAGTGGCTCCTGCTGCTTGCTCCCCTCCGGCGGCCTCTGCTCAGCCCTCCCAGCCGCTGAACTTTGTTGTCTCAGTTCCTGGGGGCTGGACAGCAGCCAGGGAATGTGGACACGGCCTCTTTGGGCTGGAGCTGCAGGCCTGGGCGAGGCCAGGCAACTGTTAACTCTGAGCGGAGGCTGGGTGAGGACAGAGGGGAGGGCTGAGGAGGGAAGAGCCCTGAGCCTGTAGATAAGAAGCCTAGGCCCCCATCCCTGCTGCCTGGCCAAGGGCCCAGGCCTGCACTTCCCCCTCCCTGGGCCTCAGCGCCTCCCTCTTTTAGACACAATAAAGAACCGCGACCAAGAACAGGGTTCTGGAACCACACAACTCACTAGCTCTGTGGCTGCACAAGTTGCCTGTCCTCTCTGTGCCTCGTTTCTTCATCTGTAAAATGGCTAATAAGAGCATCTTTCCTCTTAGGATTTCCTGAGGACTCAGGAGTTAAGATATATAAAGCACTTAAACCAGTTCCTAACGCGTGTGCCATCAATATTATTGTGAAACCAGACAGCACATGGTTCAGGGTTTCTGGTCACTACTGGAGCCAATTACGCAGAGACAGGGTTGAATCATACAGGAGTGTTTATTCCAGTGATGCCGGCAGTATGGAGGGTGGCAGTCCACAAAAATCTGCTCGAGCACCTCTAACTAGCTGGCTTAACGAGGGGCCAGGAAGAAAGGCTGCATGCAGGGGGAGCAGAGGGGTGGCTGCAGGGTCTGTGGTCCTGTGTCTCTTTCCGGGATCTTGGCGTTTCAATGGGGTTAAAACCCAGCGTGGCCAGCTCCTGGAACCTGGGAATGGTCAGCATTCCTGAGGCAAACTCCCGGAGGGGGTCAGGGTCTAGGCACAACCGCCAAATCAGAGAGTCCTATCCTTTGTTCTCAAAATGCATGTTCTTTTCTGAGCAATGAACTCATCCAGGTGTCTCTTATCTTTTTGCAGCTGTTTTTCTTCTGGAGGACATCCTCCAAGGTCTGTAAGAAAACTTCCTATCTATAGTCCGTAAAGTCAATAATCATTAAACAGCTGCGGCCCTATTCTTATTGTGTGCTCTTCCCTCTACAGCTATCCCCCCATCAAGATTTTCATCTCATATCTATGAGATTAGTTTTATATGGAACTTGTCTTGCTGCTGAATTGTATTACTCCTGGACTATTATAATTTCCCCCTATGGATTTTTGGCTCTGAACCCTTTCAGGGAAAAGGGGCGTTGGTCTCTTCTATCACTGCTTCTTGCTGGTGAGGGCAGGGTCCTGACGTCCTCCCTGTCTGACAAAGGAAAGAGGGAGCCAAAAGGGGGAAAGTAGTTTTAACTGAAGACAACAGTAGACGTCCATGTTTCATTGACTCAGTAAGTCTAAACCGTTTTGAGTCTTACTTTTAGGACACAGTGATGCAGATGGCTTCTCGAGTGAGACCTAGACTGTGTGAGCAAGGAATCAGGTAAATTTAGGCATACGGTCTATGAAAACAGAAGCAAACAAAACAGGAAGGTTAGTGCATACAGTAAATCATAAACAGCAAGATTTTCAGATACAAGGCTTTCCCTGGAATGAAATCATACAGAGATAATCTGATAGATTGTCTGTGGTTAGAACATTTCTGGTGATGTCATCAGGGTTGAGGCCTGTATGACGTACACAGACACAGCCTTAAAAAGAAAACTTTTGCCAAAACCGGTTTGGCTCAGTGGATAGTGCGTCAGCCTGCAGACTGGGAGGTCCCACGTTCGATTCCGGTCAGGAGCATGTACCTTGGTTGTGGGCACATCCCCAGTTGGGGGTGTGCAAGAGGCGGCTGATCGATGATTCTCTCTCTTCAATGTTTCTAACTCTCTATCCCTTTCTCTTCCTCTTTGTAAAAAATCAATAAAATATATTTAAAAAAATAAAACTTTGAAGACAGTTAATTGTACAGGAATCTAATACCCTCAATTAGACATTGTGGTTTCAATTGAAGCACAGTTTTTCTCCCTAAGATTACCCATTTTTTCAGAGATTATATCAAGTCTAGTTTTTTGTTTGCTATATTTGCGTAAACACAAGAGTAGTAATTGATCAAATTGAACACAGGCTTTCTCAAATTTGCTTTGCTGGAATTTCATTGATTTATAAGGAATCTTAGATTGAACTCTAGTGAGCTGTAGGCCCCTCAGGGCAGAGAAGCCAAAGCCATGGTTTCCTGGAATAACTGTATGTCCTCAAGTCCTTGAGGTCCCAAAGGTGTCTTGAGGTTCCTCCTGGCCATCTTTCAGGAAAGCACTTACTCGGAAAGACTGCCATGAACCATGTGACCAAGCAACATACCAGGCTATTTCTCCAAGGGCTTATCCCTTCAAAGTCAATCTTCATTCCTGAAAACTTTCTGGTGATATCCAGAGTCCTGGAATGTCTCTCTCATACATGACATTCCAGTCAAAGTTTTGGTTAATAAAACCACACTTAGAAACTGGCTTTGTATCCTTTTATGAAGGAATTATATTCTTATTGGATTTATGTAAATATGTATGTTGCTATGGAACAATAATACTCACTCATTAAGAGTTTCCAAATTCCAGATGGATCAGATAGGGAGAAAAATGTAAATGCTTCAATATTGGTTATGAAAGTATAATTTACCAAATTACTTTAAGAAAAGAAACAAGCTTCCTATGTCTGAAAAACAGAAAGATTAAAAATCAGCAATACTTTCAACAACAAAAATTACAGAAACTGTAATTATTTTCAGTTTACTCAGTCCCAAAATAAATTTTTGTTTCTACTGATTATTCTTGCCAGTACTTCTATTAATATAAATCCAGATACTCTGTAGAGCTCTAATAATTTTCATCAGGTTCAAAGGGGTTTATCTAAAAAATTTATTCTCAGTGTTATGTAATTTAAAATGTCAGAGTCCTTTCCATGGGTCTCTCAGGAGATGTGACATTTTTGAAAATGCATTATAACAAAACAGCGACTATCTCTAAATGACAAGAAGAAATTTAAAATGACACAGATGATTGTGTGTGTGTGTGTGTGTGTGTGTGTGCAGGCAAACTTGTTGTAAAGTATAAAGCTAGCCTTGTAAAAGGGGCTTAGAAACTTTTTGTTACTATGCTCTGATTGTACAGCCTGAGAATAATCTATTTGCTAAAAGCTCAGTACAAATTGCCTTACATACCATCTTAAAACATACCATCTTTTTCTTAGGGTAGATGATTGACTATTTTTTTTGCATCTTCTATAGGTATCAGTCTATAAATATCTTTTATATCTTCTTCAATCAACTTTGTAATTATATTTTACTACAAAAATATAACATTCTTTGTTTGCTTTAAAAAATAAAATAAAGGTAAATTAAATTAATTTTAAAAATGACACATTTATGGATTTTATTGTAATGTAATTGACATAGAATTGTGTCCTTTCTGCAAAACACAATATTCCAGAGTAACAATTAGAGTTATAAATGAAAGTATATAAGAATTCATAGGCTCCTGGAGATTTTTATATAATATCCAGAACATCCATTTTAATAATATGCAGATATAAATAGGATATAGTTATTTTTTTCTTTATTTGACAAAGCTTCCCATGTACCTTAAGTAAAAGTTTTCCTTCACAAGGAGAGAAAACAAATCCGTGACACATTCCAGGACCTACTGAAATGACCTAAAGCCAATTCTACACCAAGAAAAAGTTTTTTAAAATTCAAACCCTGGGAAGGTTGTCAAACATATCTGATCAAAAATTATATTTTTATTATGAAAGAGTATTAAATTATTTATTCATTCAAAGTGACAAGAGAAGGGTATTAGACACAAACATAGGCTAGCAAAACTTCAATTCCCACAATTAAGAAGATGGCTTTTTTTAAAAATAATCAAGTACCTGCTTAATATAACATAGTATATAACCATTTCAATAATTTATAGAACTTTTGCTTTCTAAGCAAATATAGAAGAAAAAAAAAACTTCCTTCTAAGAAACTGAAAAAGGACCAAAGGAGTTCCATATTAGTTTACTTTAGATTCATTTATCTAATTAAATATATGATATTATTCAACTTACCTATATGTTTCATTTTTCTTCTTCCCTCCATACAATTTCTTTTCAACTTGCACACATCCTCTGCAGTTTTCCTAGTCCCTTTCAGTGTTTTTTTTCTTAAGTCATTCAGAAATAACCAACTTTAGAACCACTTGTTTTCAATTTTATATCACCAAAATCATATCATTTCTTTCCAATTTACTTAGAATTCTTAATTCTTAGAAACCTTGACCCTTTGGTGACAGGTAAGTAATTAACATTCCTCTGATTAGCAATACATCCACATTTTTAAGAGATATCTGTATATATAAAAGCCTAAGCAACCGTTACGATGGAATGACCAGAGTGACCGGAACAACTGGTCAACCAGTCGCTATGATATGCACTGAACACCAGGGGGCAGCTGCTCAACATAGGAGCTGCTCCCTGGTGGTCAGTGCATTCCCACAGGGGGAGCACTGCTCAGCCAGAAGCCGGACTCACGGCTGGCAAGAGCAGCTGCGGCAGCGAGAGCCTCTCCCTACTCCGCAGCAGCACTACTGAGCGGCGGCAGCAGGCGCAGCGGGCCGGGATGAATGTGAGCGGCACGGTGCCCAGCCCCAGTTCTGGCTCCTCCCTGGCTGCCTGACACTTGGAGCACAGCTACATCCCTTGGGGGATGTCTGACTGCAGTTTAGGCCTTGGAGTCCCAGATGGCGAGAGGGCACAGGCCAAACTGAGGGACAACACCCCTTGCACAAATTTCGTGCACCAAACCTCTAGTATTTTATTTTTTTGAATTATTTTTTAAATATATTTTATTGATTTTACACAGAGAGGAATTGAGAGGGATAGAGAATTAGAAACCTTGAAGAGAGAGAAAAATCAACCAGCTGCCTCTTGCACACCCCCGACTGGGGATGAGCCCGCAACCAAAGTACGTGCCCTTGACCGGAATCGAACCAGGGACCTTTGTCTGCAGGCTGACGCTCTATCCACTGAGCCAAACCAGTTTCAGCCAAACCTCTAGTATTTTAAATAAAATACAAGACATATTCATTAACAGATTCAAACCCATCCTCTAGATTCTCTGTAGTAAGAGCCAAAAGTAGGCAAACTCAGATTAATTAATATTTCACTATCCTGTTATTTCAAAATACCTTGATATTTAATAATTTTTACCATTAAACTCAGCAAATTCCAAAGTTTCAAGTTACCAAGGACATTTGTATTTATTTATTATGTCTGAACAATTTTATGAGATTTTTAAAGCCAATTATTACAGAAGCAATTTTCTTGGCAGATCTTGTAACAAGAATACCACGACCTTGACCACTGTTGGGGGTTGGAGAAAGGACAGCGGAGAGAAGTTTTATTTCCCATATTTTTCTTTC